ACGGAAATGCCGGTGCATGGCGCTAGACGTCAAGGTGGAGCACCTGGAGGAATGGTAGCCAGCCAAGAGAATCACCGTAGCGCGAGCATGGGACGCCGAGAGAAAGACGCGTGAGGTCACCAGAGGGAGCTGAGACGCTGCTGAGTCAAGGCGAGGAGGAAACTCTGGTGGTGGCGATGAGCACTGGGCAGGCATGATGAGGCATGGCAAGAGCAGGGCCAGGAGCACGAGAAGGGCGCCAGTGCGGAGAGCGCGTGCGCGGTGGTGGAGATGCGAGGGTGGGGCGTCGGCTTGATCAGTACGGCGTGGGCTCGGTGGTGGAGGCACAGGCGCGGGCGCGGCAGCGGAGATGTGAGGGCACGGTGAGGGCAAGGCGGCGTGGACGTGGTGATATAAATGAGGGCCTCCTCGTGACAGTTATAGAAGAAATGACTCTAATCCACACAAGTTGAAGCGACCGGATGCGCCGGTGAAAACGACCGGACACAGCAAACCAGAATCCGGTCGAGTACAGAGAGGTCCAGAAATGCCCAAATGGTGATCGGACGCGTCCGATGACATGTGACCAGACGTGCCATAGAGTCTGATCATTCTCGAGAATCAACACGCACATGACCGGATGCGGAGGCACATCACACTAGACGCTAGGCAAACACTGTTCAATGTTTGGTCCTCCTTCAGTAGCAGTTCCTCAGAAGTACTGACCGGACTCTCGGAAGCAGAGTCCAGTGCCACGTCCGATCACTCTTTAGCTACTGTTTTGCTTCGATCCAATGCGTCGCTTTTTCCTAATCGAGTCCCAACTTCAATAAGAGCAAAATGAAACACAAATTGGGACTGATATGAGAGACTTCTCTCAAACCCTCAATTTTTTTAAAATAATTTGTCTTCAGCTATAATTCTTTTTAGGAAAATAGACAACAAAAGGGCGAGGAGCAACGTGTGGTCACACAAATAGAGAAATCAACCATTGGGAGCTTCAAATGCTCTCTCTATTTGTGGATGAACACAACAGATGCTCAAAAGATAATCGAAAAGAACCAACAAAGCAACACACATGCATATGCAATGCAATACAAGAAAGTGAATCTAGTTGCTTGTCAAGTTGGGTCCAAGGCTAAACTTTTTCACACGCTTTTTGGCAGTTATCTTAACTATGTTAGACAAGCGCTAAGTGCATTACTAAAAACTAAATTTGTTTTATATTACAATACAATGCAAGAGACAACACAAGCTCCCTTTTTATTGAAGTTACTAAGGTCAAGCACATTGAGCTCCCTCCTCAACTAACAAAACGTAGCCTCATTCAGCGGTTTAGTAAAGATATCCACCAATTGATCCTCGATGCTTACACCTTCTAGTGATATATTTTTCGATCAGGAATATTAGCCAGATACCGTGCAATACAGCCTAGGCCAACAACTCCAATGAAATGACTTTTCTATGAGAATTTCGCATGATTTGGGACATCATGTCCAATCTCATCACGAAATGTCCGTTTGTGTAATTTACGTGCGATCCATGTCCATGGCCGTTGTTCTAATTTCACTTTCTGTGCGCTTCATGTACATGACCGTCGTTTCTACACTACCGAGATCCAGGTTGAGAAACGATGAAAAAATAGGAGGTAAATACTAAATTAGGTGGGACTAGTACCAATATACGTGGAACAATATCTATTTTATATTTTATATTTTATATTTTATATTTTATTTTCAAAATAAGAGTAAATTGGTCATTTTGTATGACGTCACCGTTACGCCATGGCTAAAGAGCATTAGCACGGCGCACGGCTCATGCCGACGTTAGGCACGGCGCGCGGCTTCGCGCCGTCCGCTCCCTGACCGCCACGGGCGGATCCACCAATATGGCCGCCAGATCTCACCGCCGGCGAACCCGCCTATCCTCACCCTGGCCTTAGCTCTCCGTGTGCAGCAGGCGGCGGCCATGGTTGTTAGTCTATTTTCCTTTTTGAGGTACACGATGACTCTCCCATCAGACGGACCTTTTTTTTTACTTGGTTTTAGGCCTTTGACGCCGATCGTGGGCCTTCAAGGGAGTCCAGGCCTTGAAGGGAAGATGAACTTTTGGCATGTATGGCCTCGCCACCGTGGCGCTCTGCGCCCTCGCTGGTCGCTGCCGACTGCGACGCTGCGCCCTCCGCCGTGTCGTGCGCCACCAGCGAGGCTGGCTCTAGGGCCGCGTGCGCCAGGGCCGAGGCGCAGCTTGGGATCCCGATTCCCGAACGTTGTGCACGTCGCCGGCCCAAACACAGGATGCTGCTCGAACTCTGCAGTGCGGGATCGATGGGAATGATTACTAAAATACCCTCTATAATATATTTCTCAATTAATTACTTAGAAAATAGAAAAAAATGTGAAAGTACCTAGAGGTACCATGGTACTTTTCCAGCCATGGTATTTTAATTATAACTTATTTGGGATCCAAATATGATAGGGCGTGTTTGCATATTTCGCTCGGCACTATGTAGCCTTGCTTAATGAGGATTCGCATGTGAGCTGCTCGTTTGGATCTCTAACTAGAGCGTCTCAAAACTTGTGCAGGCAAAGTTATCCATGCTAGTATAGGAGAGTTAAAATGAACTGTCTGACCTGGTGACGCCAAGCGAGGCGGTGCTGGTAAATAAACAGAACATGCCCTAAAGAACGGATCCTATTAGCTAGTAGTTAGTATGGGCATGTGTAAGAGGACGTCTAACGATTCTGTAAAATTTAAACCCAAAAACATGGATTTGAAGGCTCTCTAAAAGATAGATCACAAAAAAGCAAGCATTCTCGATCCTTCATTTATCTCTCACTACTTGAGAATCCCACCGATAAAACAAAGCCGACATTCCCACAAGCAGCCACTGGCACGGCAAGGATTGTATAGCGGCCGGTCATGGCCAATTGGCCACCAATAGTCCAACAGCCAGCGACCATGACAGTGCGCTTTGCCATAGAAAATCTCAAGTAGCCAATAACACACAAACACATATATGCATCACCATTCCTTTCCCACCATGGATTCACAGGCTACAAGAACCAAATCTGAACATGCTAGCATGAAATATCTAGAGGCAAAGTAGAATGAACTAGGACAGGCCAGCCACGTGAGTTTACAATAGCCATATGGCCCCGTTCGTCTTGCTGAATCTTGACTGAAACTGGTCGAAAATTATTGTTCTGGCTGAATTATTGTGAGAGAAAAATACTTTTTAGCTGAAAAAACAAGTTGATCGAGCCGAATAGGGGGTAAGTCGAATGGGGGCGTCAATGAACCGGCCATGGCCCTCCACCCCTGCACCCCTCTCCTTGACGGCACCGGCTCCGGCCGTATCAGCACTAAACTCGTACATACGACCATCAATGCGAACATTGAGAATGTACGACCCCATGGGCCTCGTCATGCCACATAAGTCGAGCAGTACTTGAGCTCGAACAACTCTGACACACTAGCGAGGATGAGCGTCTGAGCGACGTCGTCAAGGCAGAACCCGATGAATGACTATGGGTGGTGATGTCGGGAGAGCAGCAGAGCCTCCAAGGCGAAGCCGGCGATACGAGCAGGAGAGGGGTTCACGTGAAAATCACCTGGGCCAGCGGATGGCGAGTGAGCTTGACTCGCAAAGTCTGGTGATCGAGAAACCTGGGATAGCGCGTGGCGATCTTTGGAGATTGTATTGCCGGTCTGTTGGACACGGTTTTTGCCACAGAATCGTAAAACCCGACTTCTCGGAAAGTGTTAGTTGTTTCGTATATCTACTTAAATGTTGGAACATTAGTTTGTTCCATAGAGAGCTTACTATATTCTTCTTTTGGCATTGTCAAAATACGAACCAATAAATAAACAAATAAAACGGCTACCTAGCCATATATTTGCGCATAGGGGTGAACGTGTATGGTTAATTCACAAATCTGATCCGATCACATGTTCCTTAGATCAGATGGCCCAACACACAAACATTAGAACATTCTAGTATTTGTATGATCCAGTTACTCAACATGGGAGTGTTTGGCTGCTCGTAAAAGCCAGCTTATAAGCCGGCTTATAAGTCATAGTACAGTTTTTTTTTTAAATCAGACATACAAATCAGCACAAGCAGCTTTACGAGCAGCCAAACACTCAGCCCATAGTTTCAAAAAAAAACCCAGCCCATCACATGCTCTAGCCCCTCACACGACAGAGTTCTGACCTCCCACCATGGACTATAATGGTCTGATCTCAGTAATATCTGATGGTGCTCACACGAGCAAACAACGGTTCATCACTGAACGAACCAAGAGAGGAGCGACATCGCTGCCGCTCTCTATATTTTTCACCAGTTCTCTGGATCTTATGCGCATTTTAGAGAGCCAACTCTGCTCCCTATTTTGAGCTAGCGAAAAATCCAAAATAAAGAAAATCCATATTTAGAGATCGAATTAAAAAAGTTGTTGGGTTTTTTTCACTAATCTCTATTCCTATCAATTTAAAGGATACAAAGAGACTCTTATGCCATGTTTGATCCCATTCTCTAAACTTCAAAACTCTATAAGCTATAGAGCATTTTAGTTTACTTTTGAGCTCTAAAGTTTTAATGTGAGATGAGCTAAAATTTAGAACTAACTTTTTGTCACTTATTTAAAGCTTTAGCTCTAAAGTTTAGAGGAGAAAATTCAAACAAGTCTTTATAGTTGCTCTAATCATAGAGTCTGAGCACCAGTACATTTGTAATGTAATAAAATATATTTTCTCTATTTTAAATTATAAGACATTTTGATTTTTTTTAAATATATTATTTTTACTATATATCTAAACATATAAAGCTATAAATCGAGAACATTTTATGATTTTTGAAATGGTTTTTAAATGGAGGGAGTAATAAAAAAATAAAGTCGATAAAAAAAGTAATTATTGGGAGCGAGGTTCCAACCGTGTGGTGCCCACCAAATGGAGCTTAATAAAGCAAACGAAAAATGAGAAAACAGCAAAGAAAAACACAAGACCTCCTATTCCCCATGGCGACCGAAGAGGGTTCCGGTGGCGGCGGCGGCGGCGGCGGCGGCGGCGCCGGAGCCGGGGAGAAGAAGAGCTCGCAGGCGCCTGCAAAGCCTGGAGCGGGCGGCGCCGGAAAGTTCCTCGCGGGGTTGCCGTCGCTTGGCAACTTCTCCTCCGGCTCCAGCTCCTCCAACCTGGTACAGACCCTCACACTGAAAACCCCCTTATTGTACATTTGTACTTTCTTCGCGCGTTGGCGCGGCGAGGTGGGTTCTGAGCCCGTTCTTTCTCGCTGTGATCTGCGCAGGGAGGGTTCAGGGTTTACGTCTGCGAGCACAGCACGGATCCCCCAGGTCAGTGGATTTTCGTTACGATTCTATGGAGAATCCGCCTTACATTTCTCATTTCCCTTTGCTTGCTATTTTTTTTTTTGAATTTGATAGTTCTAGGGGTGTTAATGTTTACTGTGCTCAAATCCATGGAATGTTTTGCTCTAGGGTACAAGGGTTTGCCCGCTGGACTGAAATTGTAATTTCGCCTTAAAATATGTTTTAGGCACTTTAGTAGTGTAGAAATAAGTAAACTTTAGCCTTAGCAATTCTCGTTTTGCTTTCCATGGTGGGTGAAGGCTTTTGTTATTCTTTTTCAATGGAAGATGTGCATAGGGTTCTCTGGCTACCTGTCTAATTACAATGACTTGCTCTTTGGTTTAGTGGATTGCTATTTGGATTAGAAATGGTAATCTTGTGCATAATATGCTCAAAATGTATGTGACTTGATATCCTAGTGTTTGCGCTTCAAAGTATGAATTTGTTGGATGCACTGCTAGTTTGAAATGTTTTCAGTGTTAATTTGCTCTTGGGATTATGCATAACAAAGCTGTTGGCTTTAGCTTCTTGTCACTTCCTTTATGAAGCGGTCTTAGTTGAATGCTTAAAAATTGATGATCCATTCATCCAGTTGGGTGTTTTTCCTGCTTACTACATGGCAGAAACTTAAGAGTGGCATCTTCATGATCCAAGTTCTTCATTGACATTGTAATACTTTGCATGATATATTGGATTTTTGTATGCATGATCTTGGTGCTTTTGTCTTCTACTATATTCATTTTTTGGTCAGTCTTTGCTCGTTTGTTCTGATGGTGGAAAGATTGCTATGAATCTTTCATTCATGCAGAAGGTCATATTCTAGGGCTTCTAAAATTTCTCTCTTTAATTTTAATTAGGGTTCCAATGAAAGTATACATGGAACTATATGGTCCCAGTTAAAGAACTGATAGGGCGTAGTAGATCTAATAAGTTGTAGTTAGTTGAGAAAAGCACCTTTATGGTTGTTCATTTGATATGTTCTGTAGGTTTAGAGCCTTCTAGTATTGTTTAGTTTTCTACCTAAAAAAAACTCGACCGGCGGGGAAATGACCACCCTCATGGCATTAGACTAGGAAGGAATTATCAGTTCCTCGGCCAAGAAAATCTCCGGACCCTTGCCCCACCCTTACACAGTGCACCTTTACCCAACCGTTACCCTGGGGATGGGCTGGGGTGGGCCGGACACACGACCTGTGCTTTGAGTGGTGACAGACGAGGGATTTTTTTTAACCCATCCTGAAATTCGCTCCCATGGGGAGTCAAACTCAGGACCTGGGAGGTGCTGCCGGGATTCTCTGGCCAACTGGACTAGAATCCTTTGGCTTTATGTTTTCTGCCTAATGGTCCTTTGGTACATACTGTAAGTCGCTAGTGTTTATAATTATGTACAGTAATAGGAAACAGTGAGTTTAGACTGTCCTCTAAAGTTAGTATTTCATTGAGTTCAAGTTTGAGTGATGCATCTTGTCTAGGGACACAATGCTTACAACCAACCTTTTTTATTATTATTTTCTTGTCATGGAGTCACTTGTCATCCATAGAAACATGTTTTTTTAATAAGAGACGTAAGATATGGAACCTTTATCTGGGAAAAAAAGTTGAGCTCTTGTAGGGTCCCAAGTACTATTCAAAATTACATATATTTGTGGCGAGCCACATTTGCTACTAATGGTAATGACAAACACGTACAAAATTTGTGTGATATCTGTTGGATATGTCTTTAGCTTGTTTAACCTGTTTATATTTCATCACTATATAAGGGGTTTTCTCCATGTTACCACAGCTGTTAGTACCTATATATTTGGGCCTATTGCCCTAATCCTGTATACAAATGATACGTAACAATACCTAGTTACCTACAACAAACTGTTATGTTTGTGCCAATTTAAGTTTTTATTTGACTGGTTAATCTCTTTGTTATTTTAGAAGGACAAGTTATAAAGACGGATTCAACAAATATTTTAATCAGGCATCTCCAGTTGAACAAGCAGAAGAGTGAGGGCAAAGATGCGGATTCCAGGACTCCAGGGGAAAACAACAGAGGGAAAAGGTAAATAACAAAATTATGCAAATATCTTGATACAAACATTCTGTGCTTGTGTTGTATTAGCAATGTTTTCCTAAACGCTAAACGGTAAACAGTCGGTCACCCTTCGTTTAACGTTTAGACTGTTTAAATGGAATTAAACGGTCTAAACTGTTTTATATTATTTTCCAAAAATATATATAATTATACATACATATGCATGTAAAAAATCAAGTGTTCTAACAAATATACATGTTCTATGCACATAAGTTAATAAGTATTCTAATTTATGGCACAATAGCAAGACCTCGTTCACTCCACATTCACTGATTCACATGACAATTAAAACATGGTTAACGAGAGAAATTACTAAATGAGTCAAATTATAGACAATAGCATGGTAAATCATAATGGACAACTGTGCCAGTTGTTTAGCATGGTCTTCAAATCAGTACAATAGTGCATAGCATCACATGTGTACATATATTCAGATTACAGAATGTCTAAATATCGTTGGTTATCGCTGCACAAGACCATAGACCAAAGACAAATCAGTAAATAAGCAAAATGACCTATTTTTGTCAAGGTGTCAACTGTCAAGTTCTCGGTTGAGTTGTCAACACTCAGTGACACACACATCAAGTCGTCACATGTCAGCTTGTTTATTCTTTTTTGTATGAATCTGCAAAAGCAAATTTAAGTTTGGTTACCAATCTGAAATGACAAGTTCACTAGAACCAATGTAATCATCAGCTCCACATTTTGGTTCATTTGTATATCTGTCAATTTTCCCATGACGTGCTGGCCCATTGTAACACAGTGAAGACTGAAAACAGAGATTGCTTTTTTTTTAACAATTAACAAGCTGTCAGCAAACTCCGCCTATGGTGGGGCGCCTTTGGTGTCCCAGCATAGCAGGTCCCAAGCCCTGGTAAAGGAGGAGGGTTGTGTTAGGCGCGGCGAGCCAACGTAAAAACTTAGCCACTTTAATGGAGATGAAACCCAAAAAATGAACCGTGACTTGGGGCTCTTGGTGGGTTTCAACTCTAGCCTACCCCAACTTGCTTGGGACTGAAAGGCTATGTTGTTGTTGTAACAAGCTGTCAGCACAAGTATGGAAACATGGTGCAGCATCAGCACCTGTTGGAGCTTGGAAGCCCCTTTAAACAATCCATGATCATAAATAAATTTGTTGGGCGAATAGTGAGCAGCAGGTGCAATCATGAAACTAGTATATACCAAAAAGATAAACAACCATGAGTTGGGACAGGAACTCACAGATCACAGATCACAGATACTCTATATACTATTGGACAGATATTTTTGTCTCACACTCAACCAGTTAGTGTACTATATTAAATGGTAGACAAAAATGATGCGTCAGAGCTGGAACGATCAATACAGAGGCTAGCTGGCAGGCAACAATTTCCATTAAGCTAGTGTGCACGGAACTCAACATGGAGAATCACAACCAAAATGTACATGCATATCCACTCAGAATTTCAGATCCATATAACATGGAGTACTAGAGAGTGGACATTGGAGGAGCACCTTTGAGTCTGTCGCGGTCAGAAACTTGGAGTAGTCGGAGGACTAGAGGAGGCCACATGCCATCACCAGCTCACCGCGGCCGGCGCCGGCGCTGGTGCAGCTCGAGGTGCACGCGGCCACGGGATGAGGACGCTCACGCTCAGCCTCGGAACATAGACCCAAGCATGATTCTTCTCTTGACACCTTCCTGGAGAGCAAGGACACAGGCGCACGGCTTCACCGGGTGGAGGATGAGAGGATCGATGGAGTGCGGCGGCCGATCAGCAAGCGCGGTCGCGGAACTGAGTGATGGCGGGGGCAGGCTCGCTGTTGAATAGGAAATAAGGAACCCTAATGCAACAAATTGGGCCTTGCTATTATATATGTCCTGCAGATTGGGCAAAGATTAGGCGCGTGTTCTGGGCGTGAGTTTTGGTGGACCAAAAATTTCGGAAATTTTTCTCCCGCGCTCGGACCTGTATCTCCTGAACGGCCCGTTTAGTCGCCTAGGTCCGTTTAAGTACGTTCTGTGTCGCCTGTTTCAACCGTTTTTCAACGTTTACGACCATGTAAACGCCTGCGCAGTTTAACAGGCCGAATAGATGCTAAACAAGACAGTAAGATTCCGTTTCTGTTTACCAGACTGTTTAAATGGTCTAAACGGCCGTTTAGGTGAACACTGTGTATTAGCCCCTAGTTTTGTGTATGTTCTGTTAGTAGTTAACAGATACATGATGTTGCATGGATATAATTTCCTTTTTTTTTGAGCATTCATGGATATAATTTCCTTGCGCATATGAAATTGCTAAAATCTTGTTGCATTGTCAGTACTTCTGTTGGTCCTAATGATATATTTTTTCTTGAATTATTCGTCATAGGCATGAATATTGATAGTCGTAAGTTACTTAGTTACCTATATTTAATATTCTTTCATATCCTTCATCAACACCCATTTATTGTTCCATGTTTGATGCTCCTGAATTCTAAGTAATGTTTACTTTTCTGTATGATTCCATTGGAATCAACAACAACCAAAGTTCAAAAAAGCGCTAAGCGCTAAGCGAGCGGTGACCCGCCGCTTAGAGCTTAAGCGGGCTTAAGCGTACAAAGCGTCGCTTAAGCGTTTTGTACTGTAGCAAATCAGATTCATGTAATAGGCTGTGAACATGAGAAGTATAAATAAAAACATACCTTATTTGATCTTATTCCTAGACTTGTAGAGCTGAGCAATTGTTGGACTTGTACAGGTACAGCTCAGCAATTGTTGGTTTCATGTTGTAATGTTCCTAACAGTCACAAATATGGGAAACATCAAATGTTGATTAGGTTCATAAAACAAAAAATATACCTCATGATTAAATATTTATAAACAGATAAGGCGAATAGTAATGGCAAGAACACTACTACTTAGTTCATAAGAACATAACACTGCATCTCAAGTTCATAAACCATAGTTTCAGGTCCTACTTAGTTCCAAATTAAAAGATACATCATTGCAGCCCACTCATGAGCATGACAGTACAACACAACTGATAAATTGATAAGGGAAGGGACAGAGTGAAGAAGTCAAGCAGAGGCAGAGGAGCTCACCTTGCCAAGCGTGGGGAAGAGAATCGAGAGGACGACACTGGAGAGGGGGGCGGCTCGAGCTCGACCTTGGGGAAGAGACGTCGGACTTGGGGAAGAGACCGACGAGCTCGACCTCCTCCAGCGGCGGCTCGAATCAGCAGTCGGCGGGCGTCAAGTGTCGGTCTGGCGTCGGCGGGCGTCCCGCATCGGTCGGCGGGCGGCGGCGAGAAGTCTGTTCTGCTTTTATCCCCTCCTCTCCCGCGCCCCGAATCGGGTTCCGCACGGTGCCCGCCCGATTAGAACTTCCGCACGGCGCGCGCATCCATCTCCCGCGCTGCTTTCCCGCGCTGCCTTTCCCGCCCGGTCGCTGGCTCGCTGAGCGGCCGCGTAGCAGGGCTTCCGCGGCGCCTTTCTCCGCCTCAGCGGCTTCGGCGCGCGTCCGCGTCTGCTGAAGCGCCGGCGCCGCTTAGGGGCCCGCTTATGGCCCGAAGCAAAGCGGCAGCCTCCCGCGTAGCGCTTCAGCGCGCTTAAGCAGCCGCTTAATACCGCTTTTTGGAACTTTGACAACAACAACATAGCCTTTCAGTCCCAAGCAAGTTGGGGTATGATTCCATTGGAATAAGTGATTAAATACAGGTTCAAATAAATCATTATGGAACTACCAAATGAATCATTATGACCTCATAGGGGCAAGGCCAAACACCTTGGATTGGTTTACACAATATTTTCATGCATAGGCTTGCTGGCACTACCAAATATAGAGTACTTCATTCTGTTCTATTTCCAGTACTACAATTGCAGTATGTTCTCATTGGCAATGTTTTATGATTAGAAGTAGTGCATTAATGTTAAACGAGCTGTGCCTTCAATCCGGACAAGGTGGGTCAAGATGGGAAGGCTGGGTTTAGTAGAAAATTAAAATTCATGTCAGAAGACTTCTAACTTGGTCGAGGCTGCCCAACCGCATAGTTCTTTTCTGAAGATAGTTCTTCTATGTTTGACTATTGTAGACATTTGACAAAAACAATTGGAGGCACTTCTTAGATTGATGGGTGCTTATTGGGATGGTGGCGATAAATGAACATAGATGGCCTAAACATTTAGTCTGAGGGGTTATCTCCTTGAACATAAAAACAAGTTAATGGAAATGGCATACAGAAACATGTGGATTCTTCTTTACAAATTAGTTGGTGCTATTTGTAGTTTCTTGTGCTATAAATATCAATTTCACTTCAGCAATCTACTAAAATAAATTAGTCATCAGAAGTTGATAAATTCTGATTGCTGATAATAACTTGTTGCTTGATTATGTCCTGATATAAATTAGCTACTTGCCTACTTGAGATTTACACATACCTAGTTGTCAGGACCTTTGTGGTGCTTCCTTCTTCATGGGTGCTTAACTGCTTATTGGCTGGATGGTCAAACTTTGCATAAGTTGACTTTCAAAGTAAATTCTCTTTTTATGTTACCAGATCTGCTGCCAGAAGTTTGGATGTCAACAATTCAGCAAAGAGGGCTAACTTGGGTACTTCCTCTGGATCATCAGCCTGTGGTAATTTTTCTTCGCCTGAACCCTCTAGTTGTATTCATCATCCAGAGGTTGTCTCCTTTATCTTTAGCATGGGAGTAGCGAGCCAATAAAGAAATAGCAGCTTCCCCTGTTTTCAACGAAAGCCATGTATTTGCCATTTGCTAGCCAGCTTATGGAAGTTTCTACTTCAAGTGATAACGAAATCAGCACATAACCAGTTATGACACATATAGCATTATGATCTATCTTTTGTGTGTGATATTTGTGTATGTTCTGGAATCTAGATATTCATTAATAGAGTTTCAAGAGAATAAAAGTCTTTTTTGAACAATAAGAGAATAAAGTATTGTACTCTTGTTTTTCTCCAACCCCAGCATAACTAGCTATTTTTTCTTGAATCTTAGAGGTACTTTAATTTTGCAGAAGAAATTTCTGGCTTTTCACAGCACACACTGCAATCATTTACAGTGGAGAGGTTACGTGCACTTCTACGACAAAGTGGTCGATCGACCAAAGGGAAAAAGGCAAGTGAAACCATTTCTCAATCTTGTTCTGAAAGGGATTTTTCATTTTTTTTAACGTCCTAATGAGTAGTGCATCGTTTGATTTTGTGCTCCATCTGTAGACTGTATTCCGAAGAATTACACTGAATGAACAAATATAGATTTTACATACATATTCATCCCCTGAAGTCGTTACCAATGCTCTTACATTTTCATTTTATATGATTAGTGCCAGTAGGTTATGGCCTTTGTGTTTAATATTTTCATTATTCTTCAAGGCCACCAAATGTGGTGTTAGAAAAGATATTTTGTAACAAACAAATTCAGTTCAGTGTTCTTCTGTATTCTATTAAGAAAACCTGGGGGCAGAA